GCCTGTTCATTTGGCAGCAATTAACTCGTGTGGGACCCTGAGAGTCCTGGTACGGATGGTGTTTTTTTTTTAATGTTGGCGAGAAATCCCTCTGCCGGTGGTCCCCCTGTAACCCGGGTGTAAGAGTGTTTTTGCTCGTACCTGCGTACGCTTGCCTAGCCTAACTTGCTAGCAGCTACCAGTTGTACTTGAGCGTGGAGGGGAGTGATAAGAGAGCGTCCCCTGAGCCTAATGTGTTTAGTGCTGTGAGTGTGAGAGTACTCTTGCTCGTACCTGCGTACGCCTGCCTAGCCTAACTTGTTGGCAGCTGCCAGTTGTACTTGAGCTGTAGGGGAGAGTGGTGAGAGCTTCCCCTGGAGAAAGTGACACGTGTCATGTTGATGTGAATTGTGAGATCTCAAGTCAGAACCATGGGTAGTTTGGTTACTGATAGTTGTAGAGTGTCTGCCTGATTTATCAGCAGCGTTCTCTGGTGAATTCGAGCAGGGAATTAGTGACGATTGTTGTCTGTCTTCTGTTAGGGTGGAGAGTACGAGTTGCTGACCTGCTCCATGACGGCCTGGAGGGTAGCGAGCTGCAACCATGGCCTACGCAGACAGGGTCACTACTCATGTGAGGGGGGCTGACAACAACGGAAACGTCTGGTGGAGACCAGGAGGTTCCAGTGGCAGGTTTCAACTATAAACCAGTCACGAGTCACTGTTGGAGTAAATAGCGCTATTGAGGATAGACTGAGGTGATCACCGAACCCTGAAGGTACCATGTTCCAAACGAGCTCGACTTCAAGTTACCGGGAAACACGGTGGGAAGACTTTTATACGGAAAGCAAGACACTAAAACGAAATAGTGCGCCTGCAAGAGCGTGAATTCGCAAAAGATTAGTGTGATGATTCGGAAAATTGGTTAACGCTAATGTGTTACTTATTAACAGGAGATCTCCTATGGACAACTTTACTTAGGTTGATCTAGGTAGTTGATAAGTGTTGTGACTGTCGATTTGTTCTTATGTTATTATGTTATCGGTTATGTGTGGTGGTTATTTTTGTTAGGTCATTGGGTGTTTCAATGACGAAGGACCTGGGCGATTGTAATGTTATCGCGGAATACTAGGCTCCTATATTGGTTGTTGTAAAGAGTGCTCAACTTTTAGTTTAAAAAAAAAAATAAAAAATCTTTTAGCTCTTGACCTGTGCGTCTGGTATTTAATTAAATGCCTGAAATTAATGGATATTTCCACCTGTGGAGCTGGAATGGAGGAGCTACGAGAAAGTTCAAACAGCGCTGTTTCCCACTAACTTCCCTATACCCTTTTCCTAGCCCACCCGAATAAATAGGCTGGATCGTAGACTCGTCCATACCAGTTAGTTTTGAAAGTTAAAATTGCAAATAACCAGTAATATGTTAAAGAATTTAACTGGCATAAGCCTGGATAGGCCTTGTTTAGAGAATAGCCGGCTCTCTAACCCTGGCTGGTGAGCACTCCTAGAAACATTAAGTTTTCTGGTCTAAGTAACTACAGCGGTAGTTGGGTTAAAATGTTGTGTCGTGGGTTGTTTGTGTAGTTGTGTTTACTCTTATGTTAGTGAGTTGGATAAAGGTTACTGTAAAAAGGGGGCAAGTAGACTGGTCATGCACAGGGGTGACTGAGTAATGGATCAACCCCAAGTGAAAGCTCGTGCGGCTTCTCCAGAGCGAGTGAGTAGCGCTCGAAATTTAAACCAATGCACTGAGCGCACACATTATGTTTGTGACTATGGATATAAATGATAGCGTTCGGTACGCCTTACCTATGAATGATATAGTAAAATTAAAATCATGAGTTAAAAGTTTGTTGACAGTCTGCTGGTCCGCGGTGTGTGATTAAATCGCTGTGAAAGTAGTTTGCGGAAAGTGCAATCGTAAGTTTTTTTTTGTTAATTAGTTTATATTTTGTTTTGTGAATTGGGGCATTAATCCAATTTGAGTCATTGATGCTGTGTGCTAAGGTTAAATGTTTGATAAGGATAGGTACATGTAAGGTGTATGTTAAGTGTTAGGGATACATGTGGTATCACCGTTGGGATTAATAGGCGTTAGGTTGATTAATGTCGGGTCGTAGATTTAACAAGGCATGATGAATTTTTCGTGGAATGTTTTCTTTGTTAAAGTTTAGTATGAGGGGTTAAGTTTTACTAAGTTATATTACCTTTTATGTTGTTGTATCTTGTAAATTTTAACTGTGAATTCTTTTTGTTCAATACGGTAATTGATCCAGGTGTCTTGTTTTGTATTTAGTGCAATAAGTGTTTTTTTTTGGGGTTACCGTTGTCCTGATTGATGGTCAAGTGGACCATGTAGTTAAGTTTTTTTTCTTTGTAGTAATTTACTTAAGTAATCTTTGTAAATTCGGAAGGACTATTAATCGTAATGTGTTGGAAAATTGTTTAGTACTTTTGTTATTGTATTCGAAGAAAAGAGTAAGAGACGTATTATCAAAATTCGAGGGGGGTTTAAATTTTTGGGAATAGATAAAATTTAAATCCGCCCAAGCCACATGACAGATACCTTCCAAAAACCTTTCCAAATCTTGACATAACTTGGAGACAGAGAAAGCTACGTCGACAGAATTTGTATAATGTACTTCAGTAGATTGAAGCTGCGGCAGAGGGCCCAGTTGGAAGGGCAGGCTGCATGCCGAGGACGGCATGAACTTGAGGTGGGGGGAGTGTGACGGCCTGGCATATTTGCCTCATTTTGTTGTAATTTGTTAACTTTGAGCTTAAGCTGATTGGCCTTACTCCCTAAACCTGGCCCGTTGGCTATCACCGAATATTTGCTAGGTTGATGTGTCAACCGTATTTAGCAATATTGAATTTTATTTAACTTCTCCAAGTGAACCTTAAAACTCATATTCCAATTCATTTCATTACTTTGTAACCCTACAATAATCCTAACCAGACGTCGTGGCTTGGCCGGATATGCCTTGGAATGTGCTGAATCTGCATGCACGTGTGCCGCGATAAACAATGTTACACTTCTAGACTCGGTTCCTCGCTTCAGTTAGTTTCATTAATGACAGTTGTGATCGTTTGGCTGCAGCACCAGACGGGCGAGTAAATTATGGGCTGAGCGCTCAGCGTGTGCTGATTGGCCGATGACGGTCATGTGACCACGCTGACGCTTCCGCTTGGGCGATGCTGAAGCCTCAGATTGCGCCGGAATGTAGCGAACGACGGTAAGGTCCGCGCGGGCGGTCTCCCCTTTCATTTTATCTTACTCTTTTCTTTTAAGTCCGTGTACGTTTTAAATTCAATATTGTGTAATTCGTAGTATTTGGTAGAGATTTGAGTCGATTTGTAACGTGTTATTTTAAACGATGTAATCATGTAAAGTTTATTAGTTCATTAATAAAGTGTTAGCTGATCCCTATTCGCTTGTTTTAATATTCGTTCTTCCTGCTCCCAACCGCTACAAAGACTAGAAGAGAGGCTGCTGTGACAGTAGGATAATGCAATAGTTGTCATGGTACCCAAATATTTTGAGAAAATTAAACCCTGCAATCAAATTTTTATATTATTAAAATCCATCAACTACAACTAAAGTTACATAGTATGTTATAGCCTATGTTGAAATAAGTCGACCGACTGGCTTTTTCAAAGCCAGATTCTGTATTTTTCTAAATAAAGCCTAAATGCCCCAAATTCTTGTCCTATTTCTGACAGGTTTTTTTTTCAATTATAAATTATAAAAATAACAAACAATTGAAAAAACAATTTTTTTGGTAAAAAGTATGATTTCACTGCCATATCCCCATAACACATTCTCTGCTGAAAACCTTTATACAGGCGCTCCTAAACTGCGGCGAGGCCCAGGCGGGGCCCCGGCACGCTAACTGAATCAGCGATCGCTATTGGCATTGAAATATCTCAGTAAGACGAATCACAAAAGAGCAGTTGTCATTGTTCTGCATTACCCCGAAAGTGGACGTAGTTCACTGAAACACCCATAGGTAGCAGCACTGCATGGATCAATAACCAGAGTCTTTGTAATATGACTCGAATAGAGAAAATACCCGAAAACAGGACAAAAGCATTTCCAGACGGAATTTTACGGGAATGTTTAGTACCAACCTACACCAAAATAAAGCTCACATTCTACGATACAGGCTGGCAACAATTACAACGTTCCCCGGCAATGGCTGAGCTCACATTGAAGCAAGGTTGTTTCATTGGTGAAGGACGTGATTTCCCACCCCGCACCAGTGGCGCCGGTACTGTGGGGCGAGAATTCCCGCCCCTCGCACTGAACGTGTTAAGGTTTCAACTGATCAATAGGGGTTGTGCAGAGGAGGTGTGAGAGCAAAATAATGTTCAATTGGTTCCTAGAAAGAGGCAGGTGAGGTACTCTTAAACTAACAGCTGATGATAACCCATATTTTATATAAAAACAAATTTGCATGGCAAATGCGCGTGGATCTAAAAAATCTTTTGAGGGAGAGGGAGTTTGTTCCAGTGTGTGTGTTTGAAGTTTGTTTTAAAAGAAACTATATGGCACAATATGTCTTTGTAGTAAAAATTATTTAGAACTTATCTAAGATGTACATATTTGAATATGTATCTCGGACTTGTACATGGATGGACGAGTCCTGAAATTTCAGGAAAATGATGTTCTAGATCTTCAGGTGTATTTAGTTTGGGATTTTTTGGGTACAGGAGTGGTTCAAACTGTCAGAGATTTTGCGGAGATCGCTATTGACGATGATGTCTCCACAATGGCAAGAAATGTTGAGGATGTTGTCACCATGGCGGTTGACACTGATAATGTCCCTGTGATCGTAGGAGATGTTTGAAAAATTGACCACGATCATGCTAGATGTTCGAACAATCTTGAGTTTTCTTTGTAGAATGGGAAGAAAAATCTTGTCCCTAAAATCCCGTACCATACCATCAAAAAATAAAAGTACAATCCGGTCTATCTCTAGGATAGTTGTAATATATAAATTCAAGTCAATAACAACCTACCTTTCCATTTACAGCTAAACTTTTCCCGTTTGGAATCAGAGGTCATGAAGCTCTCATTTACATGCATGTGGATGTGGTAGAGAAAAAGCTGCACATTGTTGAACTCTTTGCTACAATCCTTCCATTCACAAACCATTCCATCAATCTTATCTGGAATGAGGTTCCTTGTCTCAGTTCCATACAAGCATTTCTGCAAACACATCTCAGCTTATGAGTAAATCCAACATAAACCACTGGTAAAATCTTGAAGTATCATGCCTATGCAAGGTGTCAAAAAATATCCTGCAAGCCTCGATGTCAAGGCAAATTCACCTGATATAGAAATTCCATAATTCAACCAGTGATGACTGTAGCTTGTTTATGGGGCAAAAACTTTGCACAGTAGCATGGGTTTCACAATAAGTGAAATAATCTAGTGTAATAAAAATATAAAATACACAGCAAACAAACGTTTGTTACTTTCTCCCCTTATAGTATATATATAGCCCAGAGGTCTCCAACCTTTTTTATTTAAGGACCACAATGACAATTTTTGGAGGATAAGTGTCAATATTTCAGTGCAGTAAGGTACCCCCTTCCAAATAACCCACAAAGGGGTAGTTTTTTAAGTGAGAGCTGAGCGATGAAGTTTGAACATTTCTTGCTGCTATATAACCTTTTGACTAACTTATTCTCTTTATGTTTTTGTGGGAATGATGCTGTGACTAATCTAAATAATTGACCTACCTCACATAGTTTTTTATTTTTTATTTTTCTCCCCCTATACCATAGTATATGGAGAAAGTATTGTTTTCGTCAAAATTTTCGAGTTTGTGTTTTGAATGGATATATTCGTTTTGGGTCCCCCTGGACCCAAAAAAGTGGTTTTCGAAGTGATGTCTGTGTGTGTGTGTGTGTGTGTGTCTGTGCCTGTGTGGCTGGATGTGTACAGAGCTAGGGACTACACCTGTGGTCCGATTTCAATGAAATTTGGTATGTAGGTTCTACTCCATGGTATCTCCAAGCGTTTTTTTCATTTTTTTGAAATTTAGATTTTTAAAGGGGATTTTCCCATAAAAACCCGAAAAAATCGGATTTTCTCAAAAATGTCCCAAACGATTTTGATAAAAATTTATTTAGTATGTTGTGCTCCTTTAAATTCTGAACAAAATGGTACAAATCCCATTTCTGTAAAAATTACGGCTCAAAAGTTATTGTAAATTAAGTTATTTTCCCATAAAAACCCCATAAAATAACGGAAAAATAGGATTTTCCCAAAAATGGCCCGAACGATTTTGATAAAAATTTAGTATGTTATAGTCCTTTATATTCTTAACAAAATGCTACAAATCCCATTTCTATAAAAATTATGGTTCAAAAGTTTTTGTAAATTATGTTATTTTCCCATAAAAACCCCATAGAATAACGGAAAAATCGGATTTTCCCAAAAATGGCCCGAACGATGTTGATAAAAATTTAGTATGGCTTAGTCCTTCAAATTCTGAACAAACTTATGGGAGGTTGGGGCCTCTTTTAACCTTGCACTTGCCCGTCCACATAGACTAACCGCCCTTGCGTGGATCGTTTACAGCAAAGCAAGGAGTGAGCCGGTACAGTACAAAGGTGAAATGTACTGATAAAATGTTTTCGGCAGTGACCAGGATCCAAACCCACGACATCGCTGCCTTGGGCCCAAAGTCCGCGACGCGACTTTTTTTTTTGTTTTCATTAGTTAAGTTATACTTAAAAACATCCATTAAATACTAATATCTTGGTAAATATACTGTAAAATTAATTGATACTGATTTTCTTATAAATTCAAATAATCATAAGCCTATTTATAACTAATAATATGACAAACACAAATTTTATAGGTACCAATATAGAGTTTGTGTCGTTAGTGAGTTGGTGGCTCAGTCGATAGCGTCGCGGCGCCCAAAGTCCGTTAGCAATAAATAATGGTTTAAATACCTTATACTGTCAAAGTGATCCTTTGTAGTCCAAATATAGGCTACTGCAGTTTCGTTCCCGAAGATGGGAACTTCATCAGGCTTTCAAGGACATCAAATTTCGTTCCCGAGGAAGTCGTTAAGGTTAAAATGAAAATCCATCGATGTCATACATTTAGCACACAAACGAAAACACGAACAATAAATAAACATTACATGTTTCCCGGAACCGGCGTTTTTGTAATGTTTATTTATTGTTCGTGTTTTCGTTTGTGGGTTTGTGTGCTAAATGTATGACATCGATGGATTTTCATTTTAACCTTAACGACTTCCTCTGGAATGAAATTCAATGGCCTTGACAGCCTGATGAAGTTCCCAATTTCAAGCCTAGACCTGCACTCCGTGCGTATCGTGTTTCCCGGTACCGGCGTTTTTGTAATGTTTATTTATTGATCGTGTTTTAGTTTGTGTGCTAAATGTATGACATCGATGGATTTTCATTTGAACCTTAACGACTTCCTCTGGAACGAAATTTGATGTCCTTGAAAGCCTGATGAAGTTCCCATCATCGGGAATGAGACTGCAGTAGCCTATACTGTATTTGGACTACAAAGGGTCACTTTGACAGTATAAGGTATTTAAACCATTATTTATTACAAAAGAAGTGACTTCCCTCGCTGCAATGATGTTACCTGAATAGATGTTGCAGCTATTTTAAAGCAGAAAACAGAGCACCACCTGGCCAAAATCTTTGTTTTTTTTCTTTTTCTAAGACTAATAGTGTTAAATGTGAATACGTTCTACATACGTCGTTAGATTAACTGTTATGTTCCCAACCGGAGACTTTGATTGGGGCACCTAATTTAAACACGCCTAAAACAGAACATAGGTATCGTAGAAATAATTTTACAATGCTATCGTATGTTTTTACAATGCAACACGTGTCGTACTGGTTGACATCAAGAGAGGGATTTAGCTTGCTGAATTAAGTCTGAAAAGCTCACTTTACAGTGTGTGGTTGACATCTACGTTCTCATAGAGGGCACCCGCTCTACATAAGCTCCTGCCGTACGTAAGAGATAACCAAAGCAGTATGAGAACGGATCTATAATTAAATATTGTACCGTAGATTACTTAAAAAAAATTTTTCAACATAATATTTTCACATTTCTATAATTAGTCATAGAAATTACTTTAGAGTGACTCTATGATTGAGGTTTTGCTGTTTATGTTTTTTGTTCCTCATTACTTTATTACAAGTTGCAGTTTTGCTCGATTTCGAGCAACAGGTTATCTAGTATAATATAAACCAAAAACAATAGTGGACCTAGTATTGAGCTTTGTGGCACACCCTCTGCGACTAATTTGAAATCAGATTTCAGATTTATTAACCATAGGTCCGCACACTTCTTCCGCGTTGATAAAAACGAGGTTATCCACTTTATAGCCATGCCTGACACACCATAAAAGTTTAGTTTTTGTATTAACAGGCTATGGTTTACACAGTCAAATGCTTTTGACAGATCTCAGTAGAGACCAGCTACTGCCTGTGATCTGTCAAGAGCACCTGTGACTTTGGTAATAAAGACAAAATAAATATTCAACATGGTATGATGAAATACCTATCACAATAATTAAAAGATCATTACCATATATTTTAAAACCATTAGCACATGTAATAAATTCTTCTCTGATTTCAGGAATTTTTCCATCCAAATTAAAATTAGCCATAGTTATTCCCATATTCAAAAAAGGAAACACCACAGATCCATCATGCTATCGCCCAATATCTCCTTTACCGGTTTTTTCAAAAAATTTTGAACAAGTTGTTTATATTCAGCTCTTTAATTACCTTGAAACAAATCAAGTGTTTGATAAGGAACAACATGTGTTTAGACCAGGAAAATCTACAATAACAGCTGGTATAGATTTTATAGAATCAATTATAAATTCAGTAGATAATGGTGATAAAGTAGTTGGAATATTTTTAGATCTTAGTAGAGCTTTTGACACCGTTTCACATTGTAAACTATTAAATATTTTAAATGAATTAGGAATAATAGGAAAAGAATTACGGTGGTTCACTTCATATTTAGAAAACAGAACAGTTTGTTGAAGTGGACTATGTAATAGAGAAAAGAAATACTAAATATATTGAAAACTTTAGATCTCAGCGGCAGACACTACGATATGGAGTACCCCAGGGATCAATCTTGGGGCCTCTTTTGTTCCTCTGTTACATTAAGGGGTTACCAGAGATGATCCCGGTTAGTAATAGATCTATGTGTCTGTATGCTGATGACTCTAATGTTTTGTTTTCTTATTTATTGAAAAATCCTCAAACAGGAGTCTCCTCTCTATAAAAAAGTTTTTGGATGAAAGAAATCTGCTTATCAGCACAACAAAATCAAATTTAATATCCTTTTCAACCAAACAATCAATAACAGCGTTTGAACCTAATATTTTTATAAAAGCAGACAAAATTGATCAGGTAAACCAAACAAAGTTTCTGGGACTGGTTATTGATGAAAATCTATCTTGGGATAATCACATAAACTATGTAGTAAATAAATTATCATCTGGCAATCATTCCTTGCGGCTGATGTCCAAGGTTTGCAACTTGGAAACTCTTAGGATAATCTATTATTCTCTAATTCATTACCACATATCCTATGGAATCGCCATTTACGGAGCAACAACTAAGGCAAATTTGGATAAAATACTTATAAAACAAGAAAAAGCTATTAGAGTGATCATGAAATTAAAAAGAACAGATTCAGTTAAAAATATCTTTCCTGAATTGGGCGTATTAACAGTTTACAGTTTGTATATTTATGAGACAATAATTTATGCAAAACAATTTCATTTATTATCCACTGCAAGTAAATATAACACACGCTTTCAAATTAACCTTCCTCTTCCTAGACATAATTTAGAATTCTATATCAAAAAACCTTCATATGCAGGCTTAAAATTTCTTAAAAAATTACCGATTTCACTTAAAAAAGAAAATAATACAAACAGATTCAAAAGCCTACTAAAAGACTTGTTGATAAGAAACCCATTTTATTCCATCAAAGAATTTTTAAATTGTAATCTCAAAACGACCATTTGAATTCCAGATACTACCTAGTTTTACTCTGACGTAACCTTCTAAGATTTTGTGATTTTTTAAAGTTAGAGCACTCATTTTTTTAGTTTTACTATATAAATCCTTTGTGAATGATTTTAATTATTTAGTTTATAATTTTTGGTTTATGTTAGTTTAATGACGCTATTCAAGACATATTGTCTAATCTTTGTGAATAAAGAATATTTGATTGATTGATTGATTGATTGAAAGCTAAAGATTGCATCTGTTGTACTCCGTCCCTTCCGGAATCCAAACTGACATGTATCCAGAATTTGGGATGTTAAAAGAAAGTATTGAGTATTGCAGTTACCAAACAAGACAAACAAAATCAATTTTTACCATTTGTGGCAGTGGCACTGATCTATATATAAAAAATTGGGTAAAAATTTACAGGTAAAGAAACTTGTGACTCGCGGTCACGGCGGGATCGTCGGTATGACTCCACGGTTACATCGTGATCGTCGGTATGACTCCGCGGTCACGGGGTGATCATCGGTAAAACTCCACGGTTACATCGCGATCGTCGGTATGACTCCGCGGTTACGTCGCTATCGTCGGTATAACTCCGCGGTTACTTCGCCAACGTCGGTATGACCCGGCGGTCATGGCGTGATCGTCAGTATGACTCTCGGTCACGGCATGATCGTCGGTATTACTCCGCAGTTACTTCGCCAACGTCCGTATGACTCGCGGTCACGGCGTAATCGTTGGTATGACTCCGCGGTAACAGCGTGTTCGTCGGTATCACTCGCAGTCACGGCGCGATCGTCGGTATGACTCACGGTTTGGGCGGGATCGTCAGTATGACTTCGCCTTCTGCGTTCGTGGAACTAGCATGAACATCTCTCGCGGTAGCGGCGTCATCGGCACTCGCTATTTCCCGTCCCGAAAATCGGGAATATTTTTTTCCCGAAAATTTCCCGAAATTTCGGGACTCGTCCATCCCTAGTTTTCAACCCAAATATTCTTATGCATTCAAATATTTGAAAACAGGTTAGGGTATTGAAAACGTTCCAAACAAAATGTCCTTCAAAATTTGAGCCTTCTTTTCTTTACTCATAGTAAGCTTAATTTTATACGTCAGAATGAAAAAAAAACTATAAAAATCACAGCAAATGTGGCAGCAACAGATCAACTTCCACCAAACTGTTGAGTGCCGCAACTAGGCCTACAATCGGCTACTAAAATGAATGACCGTGTTTGCGGCGACAATAGCGGTTTGATAAATAATATGTGATTGTTTTACTTATATGATGTCTATATTAATTAAAAGAAGACACTGCTTTTCTACAGCTATTTACTTTTAGTATCAAATGAAAAAAAAAATTAAAACCCTTTATTAAGCATCAGAAAATCTGTGATTGAGGTTAGAAATTAGTGTTGAGAGTTAACTTGTAAATTTGGTCACGTGACTAGTAGTTTTGGTTACGTGACTAGTAAAACAAAAGTAGTATATACTGGCGGTATAAAAACGTTTATGAAACACAAGTTAGTAGGACAGGTAAATAAATACGGTACTAGTATTTACTAGACTAGTATTTTTATGAAACAGGGGCCTGTAGTCCTATTTAGGGCCGGCGCGCACTATCCCGACCACGACCACGACCACGACTCCGACTGGTCGGATACGACCAGTTTTATAATAGGAATAAATGGAACAGCGCGCACTGGTCGACTGGTCGGACCCTGGTCGGGCCCTGGTCGCACGACCAAAATTTTCCAGTTTGGTCGGGCCCGACCCGCTGGTCGTTGCAGCCAAAAATAGCACACAATGTAATGGGACGACGCGCACTACCCCCGACTTGCCTCCGACCCGACCAGTACACCACTCAACCCCCAGTATTCCTAGACTAATCAAACGGTGAGAATTAGTTTTTTGCGCCGGTCTGTGAATTGACTCATTTGGTAAAATGTCGTAGGATTTTGACAATTTTGAAACCTGTCTTCATATTGACGTAGCTCTTCATAAAATGTTGCAAAATGCCCTTTCAGACCTAACAGTTAACATTGGATATACCCAGTATAGTGTCTTCTTCCGCTTAACAAACTTACAATACAAATGCACCATAACAACTACTTCTTCAACAATCATCTTGACACTGAAGTTTGTAAAACATTCGTTGCCTTGGTCGGGTCGTGGTCGGGTCGTGCTCTGGTCGCATGGTGAATGACAACCACTGGTCGGGCGTTTGGTCGTGGTCGTGGTCGTGGTCGGGATAGTGCGCGCCCGGCCTTAGATGAAATTTGGTACAAGGGTACTAATCCGGGGTAGCGGATTTTTATCCCCCTGGGCAAATGTGACGTCACAAACCAGGGGGTAAAATTCCGGTCACAAACTTTTGAGTTTCACGACATCAGCTTGATGCATTAAACGCGGAATTAAACATATATTTTCACGGTAGTGATTTTAATCAGAACACATCAAAAACCTAGAGTGTACGGCCCGGATTTTACCGCCTGGCCAGATAAATAAATTAGTGAGAATGATTAATTATCTTCATTCTGTTTTAATTTATAATAGTAAACATTTTATTATTAAGTAGCCTATATTAATTTATTTGTAACATTAACTAGTCGAACAGGTTTTTAATTTTAATTTTGAGATTCTAGTATTAGATTCGATCTTTGAAGCCAACAGTTGGTTAATATGACGTATAAACAATCAACTGAATGATAATTGTTTCGAACATTTCTTTACAAAATAAATAAATAAAGATAGGCTACTAAATAATGAAATGTTTACAATTAATTAAAAACAGAAATAAGAAAATCAATCATTAAATTTCTAAAATCGGCCAGGGAGTAAAATTCTGGGGGGTAAAAATTCAGGGGTAAAAATCTGGGGGTAAAATTTCGGGGGGTAAAAATCCGGGGGTAAAATTCCGGGGGTAAAAATCTGGGGGAAAAAATCCGGCCCGTACATCTTCAGTTGTCTAAACGCTAGTTATATGGACAGGGGGTAAAATTCTGGTTTTTATCGCTAATCTAATTAATCACGCTCTGGCTATTTTTATTACACTTCCAAATCCGCGGGGGTAAAATTCCGGCCGCGAACAAACTTTTGGCCACTCAGGCTACTACATCATAGTGACGTCAGCTTTGCCCAGGGGGTAAAATTCCAGGGGGATAAAATTCCGGCGACCCGCATGGTATATCCAGGGTTTTTTTAATAATTATTTTTTATGATGATTTTTCTATTAAACCCCATAAAATAATGGAAAAATAATATTCTCTCAAAAACAGCCGGAACAGTATTGATTAAAGTTTGGTATATAGTTTTTTTTTTTTTTTATTATTATTATTCTAGAATTAAAAAACGGTACAACCCCCATTGTTGTAAAAATTACAATTCAAAAGTTATTTTTACTTAGGCTATTTGATTTTCCCATAATCCACAAATAAAACCATTAAATAACAAAATATTTTATTAAAAAAAGCTTGACCAATTTTTATTAAGTTTAGTATTTTAAGGTTCTTACAGTTCTAAACAGAATGCTACAACCACATTTGCTGTAAAAATATGGTTTAAGAGTTATTGCTACTTTTATGATTTTACCCATAAAATACAATATTTTCTCCTACTGCTTGTCCATTATAAGGGTTGTTGGCAAGCTAATGGGAGAAAGTATGAATCAGATTGCTGATATTTTTATCATAATTTTAACTTCATAAATGTATGTTTAATAAGAGAAACATATGGTTCATGTTTTTTATTTTTAATTTGGCTGTCAGGTTGAATTAGCAATAATACTTTATGTTTTTCATGGACACTAGAAAGTAGGTAAGGTATTTTTTTTTCTGTAAAATGTATGACATATTTTAAGATTTACTAATGATGGCTAAGATATAACCGACAGCTTGTATATCTACTATAGATTGATCATACTTACAGGAAGTTTCCACTCTTGAGCGATTTTTTCTCCGATATTTTTCAGCTTGGTGTGGTAGGAGTGATATGTGACATGTCGTTGAATCTCTTTTGCTTCTCCAGTCATATAAGAACACTCAGCCCACAGACAAACATAAACCTCTGAAATATCAAATATATCTTTATGTTTTGCTTTATATTAGATACAAATTTACTGTTAATGGTTGAATACAAATTTGCACATTGAGCTTCAATGTTTTGTTTCCAATGTTTACTGTGCCAAACATTTTTACACCCAGCAAATACTCTCAGATTGAATTTTTTTTAGTTCATCCTATTATAAATTGTTATAGACCATTCCTGTGTAATTTAGCTGCTAAAAATAGTTCTTGCAACAAGTTCTGGTATCTCAGAAGCAAGCAAAACCAAATTTCATGGCATAATTGTTGACAGCAAGTTTACTTAGACAGAACATATAAGGAAGGTACACCAAAACACCACAACAGGAGGTACACTAGATCACCACAAAGCAAAGGTACACCAAATAACCACAACCAAAGGTACACCAAATAACCACACAGGAAGGTACACTAGATCACTACAATAGAAAATACAATAGATCATTTGATGTTTATATGATATTTATTTAGCTCCAGTAGAAAATAAATTTGATTTGATATCTTAAAAAAACATTCAGTTCTTACTTTGAATCATCTTTTTCAAAAACTTTAATAACCAAAAATAATTGGCTTACAGAAGAAATCAAAATTAAACCCTCTCAGACTCATATAAATAAGTAAGGAAATCAGAAACAACAAAATACCCCCGCCGCAGCAAACCTGCAGACTAAGCAAATTTCCATTTGCCTGATTGGATTTACACTAAAATGTCTCCTTAAAAATATCACATTTATTTCCTACTAGCTGTGTGCCAGTTCTACATACGGGAATCTCGTAGTAAGTTGAAACCTTCTTATATTCAGAACAGGAGTTGGTTTGCATATTTAGTGCGCATTTTTCTAGATATGCTGGCAGAACTATTACTGTATAGGAATACATATAAACCTTTGCAAATACAACATCAAGCCAAAACGAATGCTTCGAAATTCAATGTCACCCGATTGTGTTAGTCCATATTTTATATCTAATGATAAAAGGAATTGCTTTATAGATCTATGAGGCATAGCCCTGAGGCAGGCCTGTAATTGAAAGTTACTTTTCACACTGGTTAAAAGTAGTTAAAATAAAATACTACCTCAACCTCACTACTGCACACTTTATTCGGATTGAAATTTTCATTAACAAAGGTGCTCTTGTGTTTTCCACAAAACACTGAGAAATGAGGACATTAATGCGTTACCAACAGACATACACATACAAATACAGAATTGAATTAGAGGATTTGCTACGCTTAAACCAAAGCAAATTACAAACAAAATAATTTTATTTGAAGGTTTTGATAGTGTCATCAAATTTTAAGATAATTGTATTTAGGCCCAATCAAACTGTAAAATTGGTGTAGTCCATTGACAAATATATAAATAAGTAAATAAATACACAGTCCACAAAACATTGATACGTTAACAACATAAAGCTTTAAAAAATCATGATGGTTTGCTCAAAAAATCTTTCACTTGATGTGATATCAGTACCGAATTTATTAATCTCCCTAGGTTTTGTATTTTTTTAAGTTTTCAAAAATCAAAGCTATTTCCCATTAATAGCATTATTTGTAAGCAACTTTTAATGTTAACATATTAATGACAGTTTGAAGAAACCACCTTTATCCAAACAAAGGTTTCTTATTTAAAAGATTACGTAATCTCTAAACGATGATCGGCATATCTCGCTAACATTCGGAGGAAATGTGACAAAAAATTCACAAATCTAGGGTTTTGGAAGTTTAAGGTTTTACTTCCTAAGTAGGAAAGCTAAGTATTCTAGGGAAAAGTACCGATATCGTTGTAGAAATGAGGTTGTGTGTGCCGAAGCCTACATAGGGCCTACCAAGAGATGGGCTTGGGCCAAGATTTGCGATATGGCCCAGCGATTGCAGCACAAAGAGGTAAGTATAAACCAAAAGTGACACATTGGAAAAGCGAGTTTAGCTACATCTGTAAGTTAAACCTCTGTTACGATCACAGCGAAATCAGAAAGATCTTCCAAGATCGCAGCAACATCCACGATCACCCACTGCGGTTGTGATTTTTTACTTTGCACTTTACACAACTGTCCTTGAAGCGCCGTCAATGAGTGGAAACCTTTTTTTTCTAAGCTATTGATGACGATGAAGTTTCCCAGCACTATAAACACTGATTCACAGTCTTTTCCCCGGTTATCAAAACTCAAGAACAATCATTGAACTTGCAATTAATTAAACCGGGCTCAACGTTTTTAATCTCACTTGGTTTAGATGTGCTTATAAAACTTGATCGGAAATGGTTGCAGAATTTGTAAACAGTATTTAATGTAATAATATATCAGTGACAGCTAGCTAGAAGTGAGAACTAATCCAAACAGCTTATCATTATTTCATCAAATGTAATAGTAAACATTGGGAGACAATTTGACAAAAATCAAACAATATTGGGTTTTTGATGGTATGTTATTTTGTTTTCAAAGAAGAGAGGCCATGTTTTTATAGCCAAAGACACTCTCACCAATCCAGTAAATACAGAAAAACGATTTGAACCTTAATCGGTTCTCTAGTTTTTTAGGAGTAGGCTGCGTAAAATGACATTTTGGCGTCACAGACATAATGACAGAAAGACAGAGAGACAGAAATTGAGATAAGACTCGTTTCGGCTTTCTTAGTTCTTAGGCTATGAAACGTAAAAATAACCAAAAAATTCATAATTCTACGCAATGTACAGACAAAACTGTAATTTTATATAGATTTAAATAGAATTAGTTTAACAAGTACTTAGGTTTGCTGCAACAAGGAGGGTATAAGTGTTGTTTTTTTTTTTTTAGGCTAAAATGTTAATTAGTTAGTAAGAAATAAAAACATTTTCCAAATTTGATCGAGTAAACTACAACAGTTAACTTATTTTCCATAAGAATAACATGGAAAATTAAAATTTTTGGAATTTTTTCCGTAACCATTAGGCGCATAATAACGCTTCAATATACTAAATTATTTGTTTTTTTAAGCTCTACAAAATGGTTTGGAAAGAAATTGTGAAATTTTGTGTTTTTAGGGTCAAAAATGGGAAAACCAATTTTTACCCCATAAAAGTTCCCATAAGCCCCGGTTCCCATAGTCCGATCAGGCTGGTTCGCGAACTCGTTTGAATAAATGTAGGTTTACACGTTTGTACCAAAATTTCATCAAAATCAGATCATTTTTGCTCGAGTTATCGTGCTAACGGACACATATATTTATATATATGAATTTGAACGGATGGTGTTTTTGGCCTCTAGGAACCTCAAAACTAAAAAAAATCGGTCCCGGTCCAGGTCTTACCATGAGTACTACGGTAATAGCTTAATCCCTATATGGGAAATTCGCTAAAACATGAATACAACGATATTTTCAAAACGATGTAAAAGACTTTATAAGAAAATATTTAATCAAACCAATCTAACTATTAAAAAAAAAAAATTAAAATTCTTCTAATGACCAAAAAACTGTATGGGGCATTATTAACTCAGAAGTTGGAAATAAAAAACAAAAACATCTTAATAAAATAAAACTTTTAAGAGGCACGCATGTTATTGAGGATCCCATATTAATCTCAAATATTTTTAATTAATATTTTTTAAATGTGGTAGACAATCTAGACCCTTATATCAGCAAACGGGAAACAAATGTAACACATGAAATCCCATCCACAGTGGCGTAACAAATTTTTACGGGCCCCCTGCAACTTATTTTTTGGGCCCCCCTCTCATGAGTTATTTTTAGACCACCGATACAACATAATCAAACGCCCCCCCCCTCCCCCCAGAGTTATTTTTGGACCACCGATACAATGATCAAACAGATTAATCATAAAAAGAGTGATAAATAAACTATGAACAAAATATTAAATTATAGGTTATGTTCCATAAAAGGGTGTGTTAAGTATTTCAGTCGTGGTTTGATGAAAGTGTTACATCACAACATCACTACATCATTATATCAATATTATTGTTTGTAAATAGTTTTGAAATCAAATAAAAAAAACCTTATTTTCCATCCGTCTATCAGAATGTTTATATCAAGGAGGTTAAAAATTTTACGTTTAATTTATCACACATGTTATCCATTTTCATTATCCTGATAATTAGACTAATTCGTTAATTACAAGGCAAAAATGTGGTCGAAATCCTCTATTAACCCCCTTAGACCCCTTTAGTTGCCTGTTGCTGTATTAGCTATTAATTAACATCTCTGTCTAAGGAATATGTCGGCCTTAGTCCCTTTCAAAACTAAAAGGTTGGGCCACTCATCCTACACTCATCTCCATTAATTCTTGGCTTAAAATACCTACATTGGTATGGTCGCCATTTCAAAGTAAAGTATCAAAGTCAATCAATCAATTATTTAAGATGGAGACACCACTATGTGCGTATTTTAATCCAAATATGAGTGGATGATGAGAAAGTATTAATTTATTAGGTTAGTTTAACTCTTTGGTTATAATTAAATCATACACTAAAAGCTGGTTAATTTAATAGATTGACGTACTTTTATCACTGGCTAAAATAGCCTATTGCATTTTTTATTTTATCTTTGTACAGATTTCAAGCGTCTTATTATGTTGTGAGCGTTTATCTTACAACAAATGTCTTTAGTATTGGTTAATTGTGAGGTAAAATAAGATATGGGCTAACAAACACAGTCAGTAGAGTAGCAGTATATTGTATCTAACAAAATACAATCAATATTAGGACAAAACTAAAATGTAAAATAATACAATATTAAAAGCCCCAGCCAACGTTCATGACTCCAGGCTCCAAAGTAGTAAAATGTTTGCAGACGACATAAGCAGTGTACGAAATCACCGAGAAGTAAAATATTTCTCGCTGACGAAAGTAAATTGCATAATAATCAAAGACCCACGTTATAACACGTTAAATTTGTTACCCTAGTTCGTTATCACTGAAGAGACCTAACAAAATTAATCGATAACTGATCAGCTGATAACACCATATTATTAACCATCAATGTTTTTACTTATTCAATACAATTATTGAATGATTGAAAATACATTTAAATAAGAATGAACTCCAATTTTTCGGCCCCACTTGTCTCACGGGCCTCTCTGCTCACCGTTCCCTGCTCACCGGTTCGCGGCTCAGCTCCCGGGCCCCCCCGCATTGTGGGCCCTGCGGGCCCTTCTGTTACGCCACTGCCCATCCAGTTTTCAACAAGATCTCTTTCTGAAACCTAAGTTTAGTTTTAAGAGTGTTTGTGGAGGTCGAAAACGTTTTGAAATTGGTAAAGAAAGAATAAAAAATCTAGCAGGCATGATGATGTACTTATTAATTTATTTAAGAAAGTATGTCATAATATCCGTAAAGTTTTGGCTCACCTGATAAATTCTTCCTTCATTTCTGGTTTGTTTCCAGATCAATTAAAAAGGCAAAGATTATCCCTCTAGTGTTTTTGGCCTCTAGGGACATAAAAATAAAAAGTATATCGGTCCCGGGTCCAGGTCTTACCGTTTCACCTACGGTAGGCTACTTCCCTATAGGGAAATTCGCTAAAAAGAATGTAGAACATAGGCTATGTTGAAAATAAGTTTAATGACAATTGGCATAATAATAGGAATTAATAACAGACAGATATCAATTTTTTTATCCTGAATTTATGAACAACAAATCTATACAAACTGTATATAGTCAAATAAAAGCTTTAGATCAGCAGCAACAGTAAACGTAAGGCTCAAACAACGAGCCAATCAAAGACCTATACCTATACCTTACCTTACCTATACCTTATTAATTAAACATACAAGAGTTAAAATAATATTTAACATTTTAAAGTATTGGCAGATTGTGAATCCATACGTACTACTGAATGGCTACTACTAGTGGCACTTTAAGTTAAGATGGCTAAATTCACTTAGTGAAGGAAGTCAAAAGATAAACATAAACAATTGAAAGTGCATAATGTTTCACCTATGAACAATACATATTAATTAATGCAAAACAGTTTTTAACTTACCATCACCATTCCCCATAGTTTTCACTTCCACATCTGGTATATGATAGCTTACATGCACATGAAACTTTGAATCTTCACTAGTTTCAAAAGAGCAACCTTTCCATTCACAATTAAAGTTTAGTTCAAAAGGGCCGACTGATCTTTTTCTCTTTGCAGTTTGTAGTGTAGCAGCTGAAAAAGGCAATCCTTACAATGATTATGAAATTATATTAAAACAAAAATATAGATACAACAAAAACAAACATATATTTTAGGGGTATGCGGTACAGAAAATTTAAGGTTGGTATGGTACATTAATTAATCGATGTATCTTGGCCCTTGGTACAAAATCAATACCATACACGGTTACCGGTATTTTTGAAGTTTTTTTCTCGGAATTGTACTTAACCCATAATTTTTTACTTTTATTACATTGACATGGAGTTGGATAGTAGCCAACATTGATTTTTCAACGATTACAGCGCATCATTATTAAACCTTTTACTAAAAATAGTGAACAGAACTCGATTGTGTCAAGAAAAAACACTTTAGATGAAAGGATTCATCTACTACATTTCAAAGATGACTCATAGCCATCACCAAGCATTTTTAGGAACTAAATATGTTTATTTAAGAAGCAAAAATCTGACAAGCTAATTCAACACAACTGGTAATTATATTCCAACCAACACAATAACTGGGTCTGGTTAGTTAAACTTTTAAAAATGGATCATTTAGTGTAATATCTTTTGCAGTTTCAGTACAAGGCCAAAGACAGTCATCATAGTCAGCTAGATGGCCAATTACTTCCAGTTTCGAACCTTAAATACCTTAAAGTTTTCGAACCTTAAAAATCGACTAACTCTTCTCAGGATCGAACCGACAACCTTTTGATTGTTAGGCGAGCCCTATAACCACTCAGCTACCCAGCCAGTAACAACATTAGGTTGAACTAGTAGTACCTAGGTTTGCTGATTCAAGGAGGGTAGTAAAGTGTAAAGTGTGTGTTTTAGTAAAATATAAATCTAGCTAAGTGTAAAATAAATAAATTAGCCAAGTTTTATCAAAATATATTCACAAACAGGCAAAATAAGAACAACGTGGGAATTTTAAATAAATTTTTTTTTTATTCCCTGCCATAACCGAAAACTGTACAAACACTTCAATATACAAAATTATTTGTTTTCTTTTAAAGCTCTTTTAAACGTTAAGAGAGAAATTAGAAACTCTGTCAAAAATGAGAAAACGCTATTTTTAACCCAGAAAACCCCCTTCCCATAGTATGATCAATCTGGTTCGAGAACTCGTTTGAATAAACATGTGGGTTTACACATTTGTACCATTTTTTTCCAAAATCACATGATTTTTGCTCCATGATTTTTCCAGGCCTTACTATGAGACCTACTGTATAATAGTTTTCCCTATTATGGAAAATTCGCTAAAACCACTCTTTGACTATGGTAGTGAATTAAGTGATTAATTATTGAAGGCTGTACCAAACCGATGGCGGTAATTAGGCCAGAACCAAACCGTACAGAATGTTCAGTATACTGCAGACCACTAATATATTTAGTATGAAGCAGAAACATGCTGTAATGGGGAAATCATAATGGTAAGAGTTATTAATGTGTCAAATATTCACACAATACAAAATAAATTATATTTGCCTCGGATAAACCCACAGAGGAGGTTCGACCCTTATAATACAGTCTAACCTTGATATAACGAACCTCGATACAACGAATTCCTTGATGTAACGAATTTTTTTAAATCCCCTAGAACTCTCCATAAGACACAATGTATATTTTACCTCTACATAACGAACAAACCATAACAACGACCTTGATTTAATGAATTTTTCGTGATTTCGGATAAAATAAGACACCTCAATATAGCGAATTTATCATTGTCAGAACCTATACATTGCGAATTTAACCTCTGCATAACGAATTGTCTCCGTCTTTCCCTCGATATAACAAATCCCCCACCCCATTATTGTTTTTGAAAAATCTGTTTCTTTATCAAATGAAATGGAAAGGTGACGTCATCGCTTGCGCTAACATTTGTCTGCTCCGTTTTACGTGATTTTACACATCTCTGTCTGCTTTCGCTGCGCACGCTATGTTGCAACTGAGAACTGATTTCATTCACTGAGGACTGATGACGACGTAATGTTTAGTAAGCTGTGATTGGGCGATAAGTAACTATGGTGAATTGTACAATTTTTGGATGAAGAGAAACCTAAGAAAGAATATAAAAACAAAACCAAAGAGAAAGAATAGCAACATCGTTATTTTAACATTCCTTTTTCGAGTGTTTTTATTATCCTTAAGTAGGCTATGATTATACACTTTTATAATGTCTTATCTAATAATTTACTGTATTGTTTTCAATACGATTTGTTTCAACTAGCAACACCAATGCTATAGTTAATGATTATTATTGACATTCCTCTGTTGTGACAAATCAGTACTGTACTGTAAGTAGCCTACCGGCCTATCACGAGCAGTAGCTTACAAAACTTTCTACTACTGTTTTGTTTTGTTCTTTACATGGTTTATGACTATGCAATATAGTGTTTGGCTAGGTTTTAGGAGGGTTAGAACAAGCTGTGATTTTAAACTTACAGCTTTTTAATCTGTAACAAGGTCAATGCCATTGTCATGATTGCGAAATATTCAAGATCCCTCCCCTTTATTATGCCGGATAATTTAGGTTCTACTGTACAATGTAAACACTGTACTGTAAAGTAGTGTAGCTTATGCTACTTTAATTGTGTTTTAATGATGTCTAATCCCGACCTATATTGACCGACGCTGGTTCTGAACCTCGACTTAGCGAAATTTCTGCAAACATAACCTCTATATAACGAACCTCGTTTTAACGAAACCCTTGATATAACGAATATTCAGTTCGGTCCCTTCAGATTCGTTATACTGAGGTTGGACTGTAACACTAAACTTTGCCTGGTGGCAAGGAGATATCTCAGAAGGTGAATTAAAGACAAAACTCACTCAAGCTCCAATTCTAGTCTGCCCCGATTTCGATTTACCGTTTATCGTGCAAACAGACACCTCCGCTACCGGTCTTGGTAGTGTATTAGTGCAAGTTGCAAGTGCATCAAGGCGAGGAGAAAGTGATCGCGTATAACAGTCGTGCACTGTCAGACGTGGAGAGGCGATATAGTGCGTGTGAAAAAGAGTGTCTTGCCGTAGTTCACGCCATAAGGAAGTTTCGGCAATATATCGAGAGGCATCAGTTTACAGTTGTTACTGATTGTCAGGCATTAATATGGTTGAGCTCAATTAAAAGTAGATTGGCGAAGTGGAGTTTAGAACTTCTACAGTTTACTTTTGACATTCAATACCGCAATGGTCGTCACAACATGGTACCCGACGCGTTATCGCACGTTCAAGAAGTTAGCGCTGTCAACAGTACGTCTGATGCCATTTATGATAGTGTCCAGAACAATACCGCAGAATGTCCCGAGTACAAAATTGTTAGCGATGCCTTATTGCGTCACTGTCCCGACAAAAACAATCATCTAGTAGGTACGGATCCTTAGAAATTATGCGTCAAGTCCGAAGATCGACAGCGAGTGTTAACGGAGTGTCACTCATCGCCTACGGCCGGTCATCTCGGACGGGACAAGACTCTTGTATGCGTGACGTCAGAATATTATTGGCCAGGCGTATACAGCGATGTGTGTGATTTCGTGTTACAGTGTGATTCGTGTCAACGTCACAAGATTGACCAAAGGCGGACTCTAGGCACCATGGGAATCCGTACGGTGGGGTCACCGTGGGAAAATTTCAGCTCTGATCTAATGGGTCCCTTACCGAGGTCGACCAAAAGCAACTGTTATATATTATTGTTCCAAGATAAGTACACTAAGTGGATCGAATACGCGACCCTGCGTAGTGCGACGGCTCAAGCGGTCAGTGACGTGTTCAAGAGGCTAGTTATTTATCGCCACGGCGTGCCAAAAATATTAACTAGTGATAACGGCAGCCAATACAGCGGTAAATTGTTTTCGGAACTCTCAAAAGTGTATGGATTTGAACACGTGTTTACACCTGTATACACCCCTCAGGCTAACCCCATCAAACGTGCGAATCGGTCCATTAAAACTATGATTCCCCAGTATTGTGAGGAAAATCAGAGGAAATGGGACCATCATATTGGCGAAGTGGTTTTTGCGTGGAATACAGCGCAACATTCGTCAACCGGGTTTAGTCCCGCTTATTTAAATTTTGGCCGCGAATTGAAACAACCTGGTTCGCTTCGATTTGAGCAAGTCGACAGTAACGTGTCAAACCATATGACTCCCGACGAACACATCGATTTGCTCAGGCTGTAAATCTCGCAGATTAAGAAACCAGTTGGTGAAAACTCATCTAAGTCAGCTGAAACACAAAAGAGACATTACGATTTACGACGCCGGCCTGCAGAATTCAGTGATGGTGATCAAGTGTACCGTAGAAATTACGTCTTATCTAATGCAGATAAGGGTTTTGCCGCAACTCTCGCTCCCAAGTTTATCGGCCCATTTGTTATCAAACGTAAGCTATTGCCTCGGGTTTATGAATTGATGGACGAAAGGAAAAAGCCTCTTGGCACTTGGCACGTTGAAGACTTAAAATTAAGCAAGTAAAGTGTAACAATGACAGTGGTATAGCCAATCCTTCAAGGCACGAAATCACTCTAATTAGTATCCGTACGTCTTAAAATAAAAATATATATATATATATTTATATATATATTTTTTTATCTCACTACCGGGGTGGATGTGACAGTGAATTTCAAATTTCCCGCGAGATAAGTAAATCTCAGATCTGTCGTGGAGTACGTCAGGCGCCACCGTCATTTAGCTACCCTCCACCACGACCTTGAGAGGGGAAGGAGCTCTAGGAGGTGACCAAAGGACATTCAGTGCCGTACCGTCAAGCTATCGAGTTTAAATTTCCCAAGATTGTGTAAGTAGTTAGTGTCGTGTCGCTGATTCCCAAGTGGGGCATATTTCCAAAAGGGTAAGTTTACCTCCAAAAATAGAAAGTTGTTAACTTTTAAAGATCTCAGATTTCAATCTCAAATTTTCAAGGTTTGTCTCGATTTTAATTTCCCAGTATTGAGTTCATAAAATATCGAACGTTCTCACTCTCGGTTAGAGGCAAATGTCTCTCACCTCGAGA